CAGAGAGTGCACAGGGCGCGGAGTCTTTGCTGGCAGAGCTGGTGCTGCGCCGGATCTCGGCATCGCCGCAAAACCTGACAGCCTTCGAGGAGGCCGTGGCCAAGTCCTACATGATCAGCGCCGATATGGCCCACGCTGTGCACCCTAACTACGTGTGAGTAGTCTGAGCCGTGCCGCAGGCCAGGGCAGCCTGCCCGGCCGGCTGGGGGTCGTACCCTGTCATTCCCCAGGGAGTACAGACAGGACAGTCCTTGTTGCGGCAGGGAGGGAGGGCTGTAGCATGAAACTCCTGCTCCTCTTTTGCAGGGACAAGCATGAGGAGAATCACCGTCCAGCCTTCCACAAGGTGAGGGCAGCCCTCTGCTTTGGGCTCGGACGGGCGCTGTCTGTCTGTCCTGCAGCACTGTGAAATGCCCAGCCACTCCCTGGAGCACGATCCCGGGGTGCAACTCAATGGCACTCAAATGAGAGACGTTTGTCCCGCAGCACAATTTGGCCGTGCCACACATCTGGTGTTAGTCACTTGGGACCACAGCCTTGGCCCTGGAGCCCTTACCTGCTCTGAGCTGGGGCTGTCCCCATGGCGGGGCTGTCCCCGTCTCCATGGATCACCCAGGGAGGGGAGAATGGACTGGGGGGTTGGGGCGGGACGGCATTGCCTGTGCATGGGTGTTTCCAGAGCCCCCGACTATCCCCGGTGCCAATCGTGGGCCTGCGGTGCCTTCCCTTGTGCAGGGCCCCGTCATCAAAGTGAACAGCAACCAGCGCTACGCCTCCACGGCTGTCACCGAAGCCGTCATCCGGGACATCGCCGCCCGCGTGGGTGTCCCTCTGCAGGTGAGCGGGGCTGGGCGAGCCCTCCGTGAACGTTACCAAGCTTGGGCTGCGGCCCTGCCCCTCGGTTCAGGAGAGGGGACCTGTGCCAGACCCCCACCCCTCAGTTACCGTGTCCGTCCCCGCTGGGCTCTGCGCTGCCTGCTGCTCTGGGGCTCCAGCTCCGGGGCTGCCTCGGGGAGCAGGCTTGGGGACAGGAGGGGAGGGCCTGGCCTGAGCACGTCCCATCTCTGGGGGATTTTGCACCCTGGCTCGGGGATGGCGCTGCTTCCCCGTCCCAGGTTGCCTCCCTTCAGGCCCGGGGGCCCGCACGGGAGGCCGTGGGGCAGCGTGGGGAGCTGCGACGTG